AGGTAAGATTAAAAGGTAAAATGGCATAATTGACTATAATGCTCATCCACAAATAAGAATCACTGTGGTCTATCTCAGTAGCAATACTTTCAATCAGGAAACTGAGGCCAAAAGAGGCAAAGTGATATGTCCCAACTTTACTCAGTACATAAATGGAACAGCAGGTTTTCAAACCCAGGTCAGTCCAACACAAAGTCTATTTCCTTCGGACCGCCCATGCTACCCATCTGTGCCTATTCAGGTCTGTATGACCACAGTGGGTGTACAATTTGCATATCAAAGTAGGCAAGTTTCTTTCAAGTCTGAGTAGGTGCACACTGGTATGGACTCCAGGGATTACTACCAGAGGGGTGAGCTTCTTTAGGTACAAATATTTGGCTAAACATGTTTGTATAGCCTAGCCCCAGAGCATGAGAACAGTTTCCATCTGGCTGTGCCCGCTAAATGGTGAGGCACTAGGGACTCAACCCAGCTCACAAATACTGGCAGAATAAATGAGTGAATAAATGAATAAATGTACATAAAAATAAATGTCACCAAACGACAGTGATTCTGGCTGGAATTTTATTTCAGGTTTCCCGTGCCCATAAGCAGGTTGGGAAACAGTGATCTTTCTACTTCAATTTCATTACTTTTGCGTCCTTTTATTTTATCTAGACCAGAAAAAGAAACAGTTGCTAATTTGGGAACCTTTGCCAATTTGGGAACAAATTTAATTCCATTACGTATCTGCTCACAGGTATTCTACAGTATTAAATGTTGCCACCAGAGAACTGTAGAACAGGAAAGGTCACGTGGTTTAGTCCTGAAGCTTGGGAACAAACTCTCCTGCAGCTGTTCTAGGGTTTTGGAAGTCACTGCCTTGCTTTGCTTTCAGTACCCTCCAATATCAGTCTCCAAATATCAATCCACATGGCAGCAGGAGGTCCTGGCTTTGCAGGACAGTTTAGTTTTACATAGATCATTATTAACAGCAGCCACTTTCACCCTCAAAAGTGTCTTGGTTTAGACAATGTATTATATAGTCACACTTCCTAAGCCCACAAGTATTTATAATATGCACTCCAAGTTTGGGTTCAAAAAACCTGTTTCCATTTTTCTCTGACACATGCTCATGCACGGCTCATGACTGCCACCTCCTTCGTACAGAGCTTGCCCCACCTCTGAGTTTGCTCATGTTCCTCTTCCCTGCCCGAAATGCTCTCCTTCTTCAAACTCACTTATGTAAATCTTACCCATCTTTCAAAACTGAGCTCGAACCCCACTTCCATGAAGCTGCCTCTGTCTGCTTCAACCCACGCTGACTTCTTCCTTCTCTTAACTTCTACTTGCGATATTTGCTTTGCTAAAATAGGAAAGGAGTGAAAGGCACATCGTAGATGATGGATTTACTCCTCCCTTGAGCACTCTGCCTGTATTTTGTTTAGGAGCCTGCAGGTAGTACCTGGTTATGGTAATTTAGTCCCAGCCCCAACAGGCTTTTTCAAAGGTGGTTCATTAAAAGAAATTAGAATATAAATACATGATCTGCTTATGCATACTTCCCCCCCTCCTCCAAAAAAAAAAAAAAAAAACTGTTGTTCTAAGAAAACTGCAAACAGAGCATTTAAACTAAAGACTTGCCTGGAGAACTCTGTGTCTGACCTCTTGCCCAAAGCAGCTGTGCTTCCCCAACTACAGCATCCTTGAAAGATGGCCAACCATGTTATCCACAAACACACATCCCTCCAGTCAATCTCTCCAGGCACCTTGTTCCCTTACTGGGAAGCTCGGACTGACTAAGTGCTTTCTTATCATACGGTATTTCTCAAAGTTAGGTTTGCGGACCATCTGCACCAGAATTATTTGAGGTGCTTGTTAAAATCACAGACTCTCAGCCAGGTGTGGTAGCTCACACCTGTAATCCCAGCACTTTGGGAGGCCAAGGCGGGTGGATCCCCTGAGGTCAGGGGTTTGAACCCAGCCTGGTTAACATGGTGAAACCCCATCTCTACTAAAAATACGAAAATTAGCTGGGTGTGGTGGCTTGCACCAAGCAACTCAGGAGGCTGAGGCAGGAGAATCACTTGAACCCGGGAGGCAGAGGTTGCAATGAGCCAAGATCACACCACTGCACTCCAGCCTGGGCAGCTGAGCAAGACAACATCTTAAAAAAAAAAAAAAAAGGAAAAAATCACAGACTCCCAAGTCCAACTCCAAGCATACTGAATCAGCATTTGGAGCAAAAAGGGAAACAGGAGCGTGCATTGTTAGGTTTCCAGGTAATGTTTGTTTATTGTTATAAAGCTAGAGTCGGTGGATTCTACCTCTCTGACTTTTCCATTTTTAACAACAGATAGCAAGTCACTTCGCTTTTCTTCAAATTAACTCTTCAAATACTGGAAGACATCTCCCTGCCTTTGCTCCTAATACTGAGTTGTAACCCATGTAATCTAACATTTCTTTACAACAAGCTTCCATCCCCTAAGCCAACCTGGGCACCCCGCTCTGGGTCCTCTGCTGCTTGCTGATGTCTCTCTCAAAATGGGATGCCCAGAGATGACACGCACCTCACAGTGTGAGGTGGGGAGAGAGACTGAGAGGATTTTCAGTGCTTTCAGAACACACTGCCAATTTTGTGAAGGACAGTGTATCTACTTACACTCCTGGCAGCTGATGATGAGCCTGTCCATTTCAGCCTAACCCAACCAGCAGTTAAGTATTACCATTTTATAAATCTTTGCTAATTTAATAGGCACATGAAGTTGACCCCTGAGTTGTTTTAATTGGGATGCCTTTGTATTCTTCAGATATCTATTGGCAATTGGTAGTTCTTTTGTAAATTTTCAGTCCTCGTCCTTCCTGGGTTTTTTCTTTTTTTGCCTTTAATTCATTAGGTCAGTTGCTGAGCCAAGTAAGCCCTTTCTATGTATCATCTCACCAAATCCTCAAAACAGCGTTTCCCCCACTTCATAGGCAAAGAAACTGAGCTTTAAGAAACTTACAGAAGTTAGGTCTTCAGCTTCCTCACTGATTTATTCCTTCATTTAATCAACTTTTTTTTGGAGGAGAGTTCTTCATCTTTCAGACATTTTGTAATATGAGTTAATAGGGCCAAGTACCTGGTATGAAATTATGAGGAAGCTTCAGAAGGAAACTGGGAATGTTCTCAACTCTGTTTCTTCCTACTTCTACCTAAAATTTCCTTTATTCTCTTTGTTGCTTTTCCTGGCCTAAAGGTATTAGTGAACAAGTAATAATCATTCAGTGGATAGTAATGCTATTTACTGATACAAGGTTTAAGGAGGATATATGTATCTGTTCATATATTTGTCAAGAGAGGTAGCCATCCCCTGAAAAGTAACAGAAAGGGATTAAAGGGAGCAATTTGGAAACAAGGGATAACTCTGTAAAAAATCATAGTCCATCATAGAAATTGTTCAAAAGTATATATGCAAGTAATACTGGCTTTCATTTTTTCCATTTTATATTCTCTTAAATCCCAAGACCAGTGTTTACGCAATTAACTAAGACCCTAATGTTAATTCATTATTTACAGCATTTTAGTCCAAACAGCTGAGATTTTCATGGATTTGGTTAAATTAATCAAATTCCATGCAATTATACTTTAATTAAAAATACATACGCATGAAGTTGAAATCCTGATATTTAAGTCAACTAAATTTACAACAAAATTAGAAGAGATGCAAATGATTAATTACAGATCTACAAACAAAATTAAAAATAATTTAACCCTACTCTCCGTTTTAGAAGGCAGCCAAGGCCCACAGGTCACAAGTTCTCAATGTCACACTCTGAGCAGTAACATTGAGATTCAGCTCCAGGTTTCCCGATTTCCAATCCAGAGCCTGTTCATCTGGGTCTTTCCCTGACATTGATTCCCAACTTCACTTAAACAGGCCCTGTTCTCCCCAGAACGCTCAAAACTCTCCAAATGAAACTTATAAACTAGTAGTTAAAACAGCTAAAGCAACGAAAAAGGTCGTGGTTCTGGGACTTTATGCTTTCAGGCAGCCTGGTTAAAATCATTGGGGGCTATACACATTCTTCCATAAGCTTTGATGGAAACTCGATTTATTCCATATTAGTTATTAACAAACACATATTCCTTCGCAATTTCAAGGCCCTACATTTTGCTGCAAATATTTCTTTCACACAATAAACAAATTCCTTTTTAAAAAAGCATTATATGAATTCTAGTGCTCATTTCCCCAAATAAGAAGGAATACATCTTTTCTTTCTTCTTTACTATCCTAAGCTTCCCATTACTCTCTGTTTGGACCCATCATTTAAAACTACACACAAACTTTAAGTTCAATTTCTCAACACTATGGTTTTGATATCTCCACAGGGCAGCACCTGGCAGCCACACTTACCTCACAACATAAAGAGAATATTAACCCTCTAAATAGAGTGTTCTAAATAGGGACACAAAGCAAATTTTAAACAACAAACGTTACTCCAATTGACCTGACTGTTGATTGTTTACATTATTTCTAGAATTGGATCCTCCAGAACTTAGTCTGGATTATTTGTTCGCCTACACCCATTCCCAGCACAGATGTTTCCCTGTCTTTCCACCTTCACCCATCAGTAAAGCCGCCACTGTGGCCACTCCCCTACAGACAGAGCCCCTTCCTCCACACACAGGCCTTGGCCTCACCCAAACAAACCCTCCACAAGCAGACACTACTTCGTACACATTTACCCTCTACCCCACCACCAACACACAAAAACCTACCCTGGGCATCATTATAAAGTAACACATGACACCAAGGCCTGACCTGCATAATTGAACCCTAAAACCATTACAAGTGACAACCTGAAAGCCATGGTAACTTGAGAAACTCTCTCTCTGTAAACCTTGAAAACATCCAGGAAGCTTTCCATCTCACAAGGACAGGCTCGTTCAGACCTCCCCTTGGAAATTTAGGCAAGGTGACCCCTCTATTCATTCACATCAACAGGCCTTCCCCCAACAACACAGAGCCCACACTCACTGCAAATCTGACTTGGCAGTTCTCCTCTCCAAGGTAGCATAGGTCTCCCGAGACGTTGGTCTCCAGCCACAGGTGTTCTCCATTCACGGCATTCTCCTGCAAGGAAAAGACCCACCTGACATCAATTTTTTTTTTCCAGGGATAAGGAAGACTATTTCAAATTTAGATTTGGGATACAAGAAAGTTAGTGAAACAAAGGAGCCTAAACATTCCTCATTTGACCACTCAAAGTACTGCTAGTTGATTCTACTGAAATTCTAAAAAGGGAGAAATGTGTTTGGAAAAACTTTGAGCTATAACTAAAATAGACATCAGGTTTATAGCTGCTTTATCCATGGAGGTGGTCATTTTTGAAACATATTCAACAAACGGGGAAAAAACACCTCGAAACAGTTTGATGTCAAATCTTATTCACCAAGTCCACCACTGCAAATTTCATGACAACTGAGACTAAAATTATTTTAAAATTTGACTTTGCTCAGTGAATAAGCTTAACAAATTAGCTAAAAAAGAGGACGGCAGCATTAAAGTATTTTAAGTAAAGACAGTTTGAAAACACAGTTATACCAGTAACAGTAAATTATATTTCTAAGGGCAGAGGCTTCTTAAAACTAAGTTCCTGTGTACTCAAAGCATAATAAGTTTCTACTAATTCACATCTTACTAATTCAGTAAGGTCTTCACCCAATTACTTCTCAATTTTTCAAACTAAATGTTATTGCTTCTAAAAATATTCATATACTTTGGATGGGGAACAGAGCTGCTAGAATGTATGACCTGATGAGCAACAATCCTATTTTACAGAAATGTGTGGAAAGGGGAAAGTAAACCTTTTTTTTTTTAATAGTATGATGAATAGAATTCCATATTCCTTCTTATGGGATACTACTTTGGAAATTATACATTTATATATTAATTGTATATTTTGCTCGTTTGCTTAAAACGGGCTCTGAGCTGTTAGGAAAAGTATTGTATTAGATTAACCATAAATAAACAAGACTAAGTCCCCATGTCTCACAGGAAAATTACTCTTGTTTTTACCTTACTCATCAGATGTACATGGGCATGTAATTATTTGTTATGGGGGATGCTATGGACTGAACTGTGTCCCCTCAAAATTCATACGTTGGCCAGGCATGGTGACTCACACCTGTAATCCCAGCACTTTGGGAGGCTGAGGCGGGCAGATCACTTGAGGTCTGGAGTTTGAGACCAGCCTGGCCAACGTGGTGAAACCCCATCTCGACTAAAAAAAATACAAAAACTAGCTGGGTGTGGTGGTGGGTGCCTGCAGTCCCAGCTATTCGGGAGGCTGAAGCAGAAGAATCGCTTGAACCTGGGAGGTGGAGGCTGCAGTGAGCCGAGATCATGCCACTGCACTCCAGCCTGGGCAACAGAGTGAGACTACACCTCAAAAACAAAAAATTATTATTTTATATATATATATTCCTATGTTGAATCTCTCACCCTCAATGTGATGGAATGTGGAGATGAGACTTTGGGAAGTAATGAGGTCACAGGGGTGGAGCCCTCATAATGGGATTAGTGTCCTTATAAGAGACACATGAGAGATTCTCCACATGTACACACCAGCGAAAAGCCATGTGAGCACACAGCAAGAAAGCGACTGTCTGCAGGTGATGAAGAGGACTCTACCCAGGACTGGAATCTGTCAGCACCTTGACCTTGCACTTCCCAGCCACCAAAACTGTGGGAAATGAAGTCTGTTGTTTGAGCTACCAAGTCTATGACATTTTGTCATAGCAGCCTGAGCAGATGACTCAATACAATCATGTCATGGAAACCCATCTTATACATGAGCCACTTTTATTATAACCTACTCCAGCAGTGCCCGCACCACAGCCCTTTGAATCTCAAAGCTTAGTACAGCAAAGCAGAAATATACAACAAATGGCCAGGAGCAGTGGCTCACGTGTATAATTCCAGCACTTCAGGAGGCTGAGGTGGGCAAATCACTTGAGGCCAGGAGCTTGAGACCAGCCTGCACAACATGGTGAAACCCCACCTCTACTAAACATACAAAAATTAGCCAGGCATGGTGGCAGGCACCTGTAATCCCAGCTACTAAGGAGCCTGAGGCATGAGAATTGCTTGAAACCCAGGAGGCAGAGGTTGCAGTGAGCTGAGAAAGTGCCATTGCACTCCAGGCTGAGCAATGGATCGATATTCTGACTCAAAAAAAAAAAAAAAAAAAAAAAAAACCAGGAACCTACACTCCATGACATTTGCTGGGAAAAAATACCAAGTGTCAGCCATCTTTTAAAATAAACGTATTTCTTCAGAATCAGATAGAACACATTTTCCTTTCAGGGCCTAGTGACTCAAATAATTCTGGGGTGAGAACAACCAAAATTTGTATTGTGGCATGTGACCTAGGTGCTTCAGGATCCAAGAAAGGTGGGTCTAAGTCCTGGACCGCAGAAGTGAGGCAGGAAGGCACAAGAGAAGGTAAAAGTCACTAGAGATATAGGTGTCAAGGGCTCCAGGACATACCACAGGGAGCCCCTGGGGTGGGAGTGCACCATCCACATCTCTGAGTGCCTCAAAACCATTCCTAAAGGGAGAGCAAAACTGACCATGATCATTGCCCTCTACATCAAAGGGCGGACACCTGTTCACCAAAACTTTTTCTTCTCTACTGTAGTTTTTCCCTGTTGCAAGTTCCATTTTTTTCAAGGAAGTCAATGGGAGAATAGGCTTCACCTCACAGTCAATCTTGTGGGACAACAGCAGAGGAAAGAGAAGCATAGCTATGGGTTCAGAACCTAAAAGTTTTCAGATAGCGATGGATGATGATGACATTTTTTAAAAAAGTAGAAAAGCACTTCTTTGCAAGGTATCCTGAAGAAATCAATCCACACAATCTAAAATATTCTACTGGGAACTTTTCTCCAACTCTAAGTTATAACCATTTATTCAGAATAATGCTTTTTCATTTTATTATTCTTTAACTTATTCAACAATCCTTTATTTGGTAACACTGGTGCCAGGCACTGAGATTCTGTGTTAATCAATGGAGAAAAATCTACCAGAGAAGATGGAGCTAAATGCATAACAGCAGCAGCCAATATGAGGGAAACCACAGTGAAATCCCATCAACTACTTTAGAAAGTGAAGCCTAAAATGTAGCAGTGGGTAAAATGTCAAAACCTACTGATAAAGCAATGAGCTTTCAGCTCCAAGAAAGTAATCTCTAAGCCCATGGAACGTCCTGCCTGATAAGAGTGTTTTGTCTGTCTGAGGGCCTTGGGTCATAAGGTATCAACTTGACTCCCAGAGGGACTAGGGGCTAATGTCAACCAAATGGGCAGTCAACCCTGTCTACAGGACCAACCCCCAATTAAAACTCTGGACATCAAGGTTCAAATGAGCTTCCCTGCTTGGCACTATGCCATGTATATTATAGCACATGGTTGCTGGGAGAAGTTAGCTAGTGAACCATGATTCTACTTGGAAAGGACTGTAATAAACCATAAATGTGAGTATTAACAACTTTCAGGGAGTTCCATGAGTGTTTCTAGTGAGTTACTGAAGCTGAGTGCGGTCTTGGAGGTTCCCAAACTTGCAACTGATGTCAGAAGAGAGGGTAGTCTCAGGGACTCTTGAATCCTGCATAAAGTTGTCTAGACTGGGTGGCATTAGCACAAGAATGCAGTAGACAAATGAACTAGTTTTGTTTTCTTCCTACAATTCTCATGAACCCTTCTCCAGATCCATGTTAACTAACATGAGCTTTGGAGTCAGACTTGTTGCCTAATAGCTGTATGACTTAGGGCCCTTCTCACTTCCCTAAACCCTCTTCTACTCATCAGTCACATAAAAATCACTGTACCTCCTTTACTGGACTACAGTGATGTTTAAACATAAAAATGCGTAAAGCCCAATGTTCCGCATAAAACAAGAAGTTAATAGACGTTCGTTATATTTATTAGTGTCGCTGTTACTCTAGTTTCCCTTCTTCCTCCTAATCCACAGATGTTAGCATTAACCACATTTCTCTCCTTGGTCTTCGTGGCCAAGACTGCTAGCCATTCCTCAAAATAATTATTTCTCCTTTTCCTGGACACATAGTCAGACTTTATTTCCCCAGTCTCCCTTGCAATTAGGTGTGGCCATGTGACCAAATTCTGAACAGTGAAACAGTAGCAGAAATTCCAGACTTGTTCCATTAAATCCTCCCACATGCATTCCTCCATGGTCTTTTATCTTACTGGTCAATTGGGAAGTCAGCCTTTTGGAATCCTCTTGGTGGGATGTCAGAGTGATCCTCAGCATGGGTCACTGAATAGCTGTGTGACAAAGGGCCTGACTCCCCACCCAACCACCTGGAATAGTCTTGGTCTATCACATAGGCGAGACACAAACCTCTCTTGTATTAAGCCATTATACATTTGAGTCTTTTACTTGCTGCAGAGCCTCATTTACCCCAGCAAATGCAGGCCTCTTCCTTTTGCTTTTATTTTTGTCTAGGTTTCATTTCATTATCTGACTATACCCCCCAGTTACTTACTATACGCTGGACAGTGCATCTAAAATTTCGGAGTCTTGGTTTCTTCTGCTCTCAACTCTGACACCCTCTCTGATTTATTTTACATTAGTATAACTTTAGTTCCCCCAAAAGACAGCCATGATTATGCCTCTCCCTTGTTCAGAATGCTTAGATGTTTCCCTATTTATAAGATAAAATCCAAATTCGACCTGGCATGCTAGACTCCAATAACAGCATCAATCACTCTTTTATCCTTGTCACTCTTAAAAAAAAAAAAAAAAAGACAGGGCCTTGCTCTGTTGCCCAGGCTAGAGTGCAGTGGCATCATCACAGCTCACTGCAGCCTCAAACTGCTGGACTCAAGCAATCCTCCCACCTCAGCCTCCTGAGTAGCTGGATTACAGGCGTATGCCAACACACTGGGCTCCCTGTCACTCTTCTTTAAACATACCTTGCATTTCCCTTTCTGGTGCCACGTTTTTGTTCATTCTACTGTCCCTACCTGGAAACATCTTTCTCTCTTCTCTACACATGTATCTTGAAATACCATCTCAAATAGTACACCACTCAAAGAGTATCCATCTGT